AAAACCGAATTTTGTAGGAAGATAAGTGTTTTTGAAGAAAAAAAGAAGCGACTCAAAATCTTCTTCCATCTAAGTCAAAAGAAAAATATGATAAAACTTTTGAACAATTCTGTCAATGGAGAAACAATCAAGGGGTACAAGGTGTCAGTGAAAATGTTATGCTAGCGTTTTTTGGGAAAAGTAAGAAGCTAATGCTTTTAAAAAATAAATTTTTTCTGGTATTTTTAGTCCAAAAATCTGAAGGCATCGTCACTGTTGTCAACATATTCGATGCTGAAGAGTACGTTGAAATATATGAAGGCAGTGACATTTCAAAATACAAGCAATTAATTGCATTTTTGAAAAACAGAATGAAGGATATGAACCTAAAAAGTCAAAAGTGTTGTCATCTGAACAAATTATGAAGTTTCTAAATGACGCTTCCAATGAATCGCATCTATTTATAAAAGTGGCATTAATTTTTGCTTTAATGGAGCAATGCGAGGGGAAGAATTACGAACACCAACAATTAACGATATAGAAGAGAATCAGTTATTATCGTAACAATACAAAAACGAAAAAGAAGCGAGTTTTTAGCGAACGGAATTGAGTTGTATCGGAAGTATCGTAAATTAAGGCCACAAAACACGAATCATTCCGGATTTTTCGTTTGTTACCGGAATGGTAAATGCACTGTGCAACCGGTGGGGATAAACACATTTTATAGTTTGCTTAATATTTGAAGCTTCCTGATTCCAATAGCTACACAGGGCATTGCATGCGAAGGAGTGCAGCTACCATGTTGGTTGATAATGGAGGCAGTATCCCTGATTTGAACAGATGGGGATGGTTTTCAACATCTTCTGCTGAGGGTTATATAGGAGAAAGCGTTCAAAATAAAATTCAAACATCGAAGAAAATTTTTAGAGGCCCCAATCAACAGGAAGCTTCAAAGGATGACTCTTGGCAGAACTTATCAACTATCATGGATGTTTCATTAAACGAATTTTCCAAAAGTACAAATGGAATTTCATTCCAAAATATATCCAACATTTATGAACATAAAAATTGTGAATGATTTTTTTCGTTCAATGCTAGATTTGTGTGTATGGTTGGGTTGCTAACATTTCTTTATTGAATTCTAGCTAATCAAATGGCTGTTTTTCATTAAGAATATAAAAAATACCTTAAAGTTGTTATTTATTATCTGCATTATAAATATTCAAAAATAAACATAACTCCGTTATACTAAATCCTCAATAATTATTAACAGAACCATAATTAATTCCGCTTGTATGAATGCAGACGCATGTTTAAGCAACGTGACTGACCATCCACATGCTAACTGAAGTGAACGTTTTTTACGATTTGGTCCAATCGCATCGAGCGATATTTGAACCGTTTACCGTTAATTCTTCGCGTTGAACTTTTGAAGACACGCGAGCCTCTAGTCGCGGTTTGGTCTAGGATGCTAGGCTCGGCTAGGCGAAAGAGTATCTGCATGTGCAAAGCACTTTCAGATCTCTTCGTTGTGTTATTCGAACTCAGGGTCATTGTAACCTCCTCGTGGTCATAGCAGGCTGGCGTGGTTAACGAAAAAAATGTTGTAAGTTTGGTTTTAAAATTGGGAAAAAGTGCAAAATACACCAATTCTTTAAAAATATGCCTTAATCTAAAATAAATTAAAATACAAAAAATAAAAAGTACAAACTAATATAAGTATATTCAATTTATCTTAAATTTTTCAATTTCACTACAAACTATAAAACATTAAATAATGTATTTTTCATATTTTATCATAGATTCCAATAATAGCAATTTTTAAAAAATTGATAATCTTTGTACTCACTTTTACCCGTCAGTTCTGTGTCCAATGTTAAAATTCAAAATTCCTGCGAAATATTGAAGTTTAAACGTCAAGTCCCCTTTTTAACTCAAGTGTTGGTAAAAAATTACCTACAGAGCCCGCCCTTTGCACGACAGTCATATTGAAAACAATGCAAGCGGCGAAGTTGTGGTGAATGCACGTATAGTTCCAGTATTGTGTATTCTTACGAATATATATTTCATTGTAATTTATATAAGGCTATATGTGATTTGTTGATAAGTAGCATCCTCTAATAAAAAATATCAGTAAAATACTTAATTTCGAGTTATAATCTCAAATTTGTATCCCATTCATCAGTACCGTGTCGTCAGTTCCATGTTCGATGTTTCGGTTATCTTTTTTTCGCAAACTTCAATTTAAATTCTGCTTGCGCAGAACTTGTTTATTTAATGTCATTATAAACTCATATAAATTTGGTGTGGGTCCCATATCTAATAATTGAGATATCGGTATACCCAAAATTCACCAGCCGCCACTGATGTGTGGTATTATTTGATTTTAAGATATTTAATGTATAATATGCTCAAAGTTGCAATAAATCTTATATTTTCCAATAAATTATGTATTAAATTAGTACCCTGGTATACTCGCCAGTTCCCTTGAATTCAAATTTAGAAAACACAGATATTTCAGAAACTGTTTGAAAAAGAGACTGGCCCAGCCTGGAACATTATATTTATTATATTATCTATGTTTATCTTATGTTGTTAGTGTCAGTTTATATTAAGTTTAGGTATTCTATTTTCCATATTTTTTGTGTAAGTCGCTGAATACATAGGTATCTAAATTAATAATTTAGTTTTATTTTCCTTTTTACCACCCTCGCATCCCAAAAATTATTAAACATTTTAAATAAATTATTATAACAATGTTGTGTTATTATGTGCCACAATTTGTGCAATTTCACCACAAAATATGATATTAAAAAAGTCATCTACTTACACAAATTATATGAGCCGATTAGATTAAAATATGTTCAAATGTCAAAAACTTTGTTAAAAATTTATTTTACTTTAGATTTACGACCTAAAATGACTCATAACTGTAAAAAACAGGTGCAAATCGCCCCCATACCTCCCAGACTTATTCATTTACTATACTTGCACCAATTAAAAAATATTATAAAGCATAAAACTTTAACAGTTAGCCAGCGCTTACTTTGTACAAGTGAAATAACGAACTCATTAAATCATTGGGCAACAAAGCAGCAGTTTGCCACCTTAAATAACGACCAGTTACAGCACCTATTGAGCACTTATTGTTTGCATTCATAATTCCGCTATTACTGGACTTAACGTAAGCATGCTTATGCATAATGCTGAACGTCTCGAAATTTACTAGAAGTTTATACCTATTATGGGCGTGTAATTGCTGGCTTAAAGAGTTCATTTAAACGTAGCTGAATTATGTTTTTAAAATAAACTCTCTAAAAATGAATTGGTCAAAAATGACTAATTTTATAGTTATTAGTGGCTGCTTTTTCACTTGTACCGAAAATACCGTCAAAAATTATGAAAGTGCAGCAGTTTTTGAGATATAGTCAATTCCATATTAAATGGAAATGTGACTATCTCAAAAACTGTTATTTTATTATCTCATTACAAAAATACAAAAGTACCTATTAAATAGTTTCTTAACACCAATATTTGAAATGTTTATATGAACATTGTACTGACCTTTAAATTTCGCCGGCAGTAAACTATAACTTAAATTCGGGCACGGACTCCACTGTAAAGTGCTCATAAAACATTTTCTTTACTTTCACTGTGAAAAACTGTCAATTTTTAAGAAATACATTTCGATTTATAACCTTTATAAAATATAAAAATTTGACATTTGACGGTGACAAACAGATTCCCCTATTGTTTCATACCTTATTTTTGGAATATTTTTTTTTCAAATGAGGTTTTTTCATACTTTTTGAATCTTTTAAAGGTACTCCCAGAGTTTCTGATTTTTAAATTAACAAAAAAAAATCAGAAAAAATCCTAAAAAAGTTGGAAAAAATCTTTTTTTTTTTCAAACGAGGTTTTTTCTTATTTTTTGAATCTTCTAAAGGTACTTCCAAAGTTTCAGATTTTTTAATTAATGTTTAACCTGAGCCCCCGAAAATCCTAAAAAAGTTGGAATTTCATTGAGGTTTTTTCTTACTTTTTGACTCTTCTAAAGGTATTTTCAAAGTTTTAAATTTTAAATTATTACCTGAGCCACCACTTTAACAAAAAAAATCAGAAAAAATTCTAAAAATCTTTTTGTTCAAACCAGGTTTTTCTTAGTTTTTGACCCTTCTAAGGGTATTACCAAAGTTTCAGATTTTTAAATTAATTTTTAAAAAATCCTATTTTATCTATTTTGCGTTCATAATGACTTCATTATAACACCGCTTTTGGTTCTTTAATGAGGTACTTTATCCCACCCAAAATTTTGATTTTATAGGTTGGCTATACTTTAAACAGCATAATATGTTGCATATTGGTTATAATATTTTTATGATTTTTCCAGTATTTACGAGACTTTTCTGGCAATAAATTTTGTTTACTACCAAAGAAAATCCTTTTTTTCTTCCTTAACATTAACAGCTGCTTATTGTAAATAAATAAATTAACGACGGCATGGTGAATCGATTTTGACATTAACTGTCAAACCAATGACTGTGATACCAACTATCTAAAGTAAAATTCGACCAAACTAAATTTAAGGTATAAAATTAATATTTTTTGTAACCATTTGGTTATTTTATTTTGTTTAGTTTAACTATTTTATTTATCTCTCGGTAATTTATAAATCTTTGGTTTTGGATTAAATTCGGTTAATGTAACATATTATACTTAATAATTACCAAAATTTTTATAAAACGCATCTGTTCTGTGATAAAACCTATAAATAGATGCTTACCAAATTAAATGCCAGGGGACTGTTTTAAGATTTGTAGATAAATAATGATCTACAACTTTGTTAACTCTTCTATAGTAAGTTGAAGATGGACAATATTTTGTAAAATTTATATATACAGCTGTATTGGGACTAATTTTTTTTTAAATATACAGGGTGTCTCTAAAATTAAGCAATAATGCCAACCAAGTTTTTGAGTATTAAATACAACTTTTTGGATAAAAAAAATCTAAAAACTTACCCTTAGTCCTTGCCTGTGCGCCTCGCTGCCGGTCTCCACGCTGCTCACAAAAAAGCCGGTGCCGTGCTCGCGGCCGCCCCTGAGGCTGAAGCCGAGGTTGGGCCCGTGCTTGCACGTCAAGTTTGGGGGCGGCAGCGTGCCGTTGGCGGGCCGCACGAGCCGCACGGTGCGTACGCGGTTGTGCCGGGATCCGCAGCTTTCCGACACCGTCTCCGAGCTCATGGTGGAGGCGGCGTATTTTATTTGGGAGGACTGCTGCGACGAGGGGGGGTGGTGGCCCCCCATCGGCAGGCAGTAATCCATTGCCAGCATGGTTTTGCTGAAAAATATACACAAAATTTAAAATATGTAAAAATTAAAAAATATCAATAATAATAGTTTGAAATTTATGGATGTGTAACAACTTTTTTATAGGTAGCATAAATAAAATAATTATTAATATAAACAAATTTTATGATTGGGATTATTAAAAATTAAATATACAAACACATTAAAAAATTAACAAATTTAACACTACACTATACTGGATATAAATATAATTATATTTATTCTAAGATTAGTAAATATTGGCACGACTGGCCTATTCCTAAAAATATCCCCCACTTACGAAAGTGTCCGACATTTTGGAAGATTGTTTCATGTGTTAGTTAATATTTTGTTTGGAATTATGAAAGAGCTGCTAAATTAGTGGAATTTGATAGAATTAACCACCAAATGTGTGTAGGTGATAATTATTACATAATTATATTTATGTGTGTAGTATTATGTTTTGAATTTTAGATGTTGGAGTGATATTAGGTCGGCCGAAGAATCACATTAAAACCATTATGTATATTTTACCTCTAGATTATGGGCACGAATAAAAATTTTGGTTAAACAGGCCAATATAGCCAAAAAATGTCCGTCTCGCAAACAAAATCAACGTTTGAAAAAATCATTGCAGTGTATATTATATACGAGGTGTGTTCAGAAAATAACGGGAATTGTTAAACTTTAGCTGTTTTCATTGTTTACTTTGTCTGTGGCAGCCGCTAAGGTTAGACGTGTTTTATGAGTTCGGCGATTTTTCGTTCGTTAAAAGAAATGTATCAACGAATTTGTATCCAATTTTGCTTAAAAAATGAAATAAAATCTGTGAAATGTTAACAAAGGCCTATAGTAAGTCTGCTATAAGTAAAACAAGAGTTTACAAGTGGTATAAGAGTTTCCAAGATGGCCGTGAAGACGTTGAAGATGACGAACGCCCCGAACGCACAAGCAAATTAATAACCGATAAAAACATGAAAAAAGTGGAAGAAATGGTTATAAACCATCAGAGAAGTCGCTGATGATGTTGGTATATCGATTGGCTCATCCCATGAAATTTTTTCGAATGTGTTGGGTATGAAACGCGTGGCAGCAAAATTTGTTCTGAAATTGTTAAATTTTGAACAAAATTTTTGGCCAAAAACAATACTGTAATGATGCCCCAGCCTCCATATTCGTCAGACATGCCTCTGTCTGACTTTTTTCTATTCCCAAAAATAAAGAGAACCTTAAAGGGCCGTCGTTTTGCAAGCATAGATGACATTAAAAGCGCATCGCTGAAAGAACTAAAGGCTATCCCAAAGATCGAGTTTTAGAAGTGTTTCGAGTATTGGAAGAAGAGCTGGCACATGTGCATAATATCCAATGGGGACTATTTTGAAGACGACAACATTAATGTGGACGAATAAATAAATATTTGTTTCAAAAAACGAAAATTCCCGATATTTTCTGAACACACCTCGTATTTAATCCAAAAGTAAATATTGTATCGCCAAGAATTATAACATTTGTATCAAAAAATACTTATTCTTAAATTAAGATTAGTGTATAGGTATTTTATTTGAGGGTGCTTGCATTAATAACAATATAATTTGTTTATTTTTGTGTTTTTTTGTGCGAGAATTTGATAATGTTATGACGGCATTTTTATAGTTTATTATCTTTGTTTTATATCATAGTACAAGCTAATAAATATTAATAGAATAAAATCTATGAAAGTTATCAAACGTCTTTCCAATATTTAAATTTTGAAAGCGACGATTAGATATATAAATTACAATAAAATTGGCAAAATTTTTATGAAAAAAACAAGCTTTCCAACAAATTTAAATTTATTAAAATTGCGTACACCGATAAAAATAATTATCAATTATTTTACTTTTTGTGGTTGTAAAGTTTTTTGAAGTAAAAATAGCGAAAACAATGTAAGAAAAGGTACTAAGGTAGGCATTTAAAACTACTACAAAAAAGTAACATTCTTTAGTAAAATTTAACATTACAATGTGTCATCTTTTGTTTTAACATGGTGGTTACTAGTACAACTCAGAAAAATTACTTAATAAATAAGCTGTTTTTACCACTACAAGTAGTACGTTCCAAGATTTTACCACAACATTCGTTGTTTTAAAAAATTAATTGGTTATTAATCGGTAAGAACAGTTTTTTGTGGGTTAGAACCCGCTTGAATCTAGATATTACATCCATTGTCACAGTTAAAGCAAAGCAAAGTGGACGTGTTTATCTAATGGAAAACTTACTGGAAAATTGGATTTACAGGAGTTAATTCCTGTATTTGTAGGTGAGTAAATATGTAGAATTCCTTAAGGTATAAATTAATCTAGTTAGAGGTTATTATATTAATGCACTGTTTGATTTTTATAGCTTTATGGAAAAATTGGAAAATATTGTGCTATCCGATGATGCAATTATATTCATTTGCAAGAAATATAGGTTTTAATAAGCACTATTGTGCTTACAAAGTTTTTACAACCAATGACAATTTTTGCATAGACATAAAATCCATTTATACATAAGCTGTAATTTTGTTAGCATGCATGTATGCTAAGTTATTTTTGTTTTGTAATGTTTTTAATTTTTTATAAAAAAACTTGTATTTTTTTAAGCATTTTGTGGCGGCTAGTGGATTTTGGGACCCACACCAAATTTATAAGAGTTTTTAATGACATTAAATAACAAAGTTCTTTGAAAGAAGAATTTGACTTAAAATTTGCGAAAAAAGTTAGGTTTTTAGACAGAAGCCCCGTGCTCTCCCTTATTAATTTAAATCAAATTAAATTGGTGTAATTTATAATTTACTACAGCTCATCAACAAATTTAAAAAATTGTTTAATCCAAGTAGGTATTACAGATTTTACACCATTTCAAATTTTTATTATTTCATTACTAAAAAAATTAAAAAAAGATATAAAATCTGTAATACATCTGTAGGTACTTACTGTAAATGTGTCGATAAACTGTTATAAATTATAAATAACACCACTTTAATTTAAATTATCCTGATTAGGGGGCTGGGAGTTCTGGGTAAAAAACTAACTTTTTTTGCAAACTTCAATTTAAATTGTGCTTGCGAAGAACTTTTTTATTTAATGTCATTAAAAAGTTTTATAAATTTGGTGGGGCCCAAAATTTTTTTGTTTAATAAATGAGGTATTGATATACCCAAAATCCTCCAGCTGCCACAAAATGTTTGTTAGTATTTAGCATTATTTATTTTTAATGTGAATTAAATTAAATTTTAACAAATAAATCATTTTTAAGGACTATTTTTTGTTTAAATTTAACTCCTTAATCTTTTAAATAAACACCTACAAATAGACCATATTAATTGCAAATTAAAGTACGTAGAACAGTTAATCTACTAACTTCTACCAAAAAAAAGGTGACATTTAACAGCAGCACTGGTTTTTAAAACCAATACCATAAAACTAAATTTAACTACTACTGTAGTGGTCAATTAAGCCATTTATTAAAATTATAAAAATAACCACTACACAGTGATTTCGCATAACAACAGAAGTATACTTTTTTGTAGTGGTATGTTTTACTTGATGTCTCAGTTGGCGCCTATTTAACCACATTTTGTAGTTAAAGCAAACTGACTTTTTTATCGGTGTAACAAACATGGAGAAAACATGAATTTTGAATGAAATAATCATGTTAACTCTATTTATAAATATATATATTTGCCTATATATTGTTAAATAGCGTTTTAATTGAATGTTTTTTTTATTCTAACGAGCCAAACATAGCGCTTAACTGGCTGTTATTAAAAATTATTAGCGCATAAACTCAGAGGATTCAGACCAGGGATCTAATGAATTTTGCGTTTTCAATGCAATACAATAACATCTTTCTGCTCTGAAATACCACTAACAGGGACAAGTCATACCCCCAGTACACTGAAAAAAAAAGATTTCTTATATTTAGAACACCTATATCATCTTGAACATATTTGTTTAATTCAAGTCAACTTGCTTTAAAATAAGAATATATATTTCAACTAAAAATATTTAACTTCCTATTAAAAAACATTTCTTGTTTTAAAAAGTTTCATGTTTCAATCCAAATATTAAATATTCTTGAGGGAAATATTAGTTGGTTTCTTGGTACAATTGTTAATATTTTTTTATATCAATAATAAGATACTTATTTTTTTTAATTTTTTTATATTAAGAATTAGATATTCTTAAATTTTTTATTCGTTTTAATAAACAGTAGGTATTTTCTTTTGCCAAGAATACATATTTTTGAAATCGTGTAGGAGTGGAGATGCCGACACGTTCCTCTGAAATTTTATGCCTAATCATGCAGTGTTTCTTTCTCTTTGTAAGGGGGAGGGCGTTTTTCATTAAAAAATTATTAGAAGTGTGGTCAGCATCGAAGGAAATTATAAAAAAAATTGAACGTAAGTAACTTGTTATTAATATACCACCCTTTTTTAAATTTAGCGTCGCATTTACGTGTAGGTAGGTAGGTTTATTGTTTAAATATTTACTAATATGCATTAAGGATGCCTTAAAATTATTTTATTCATAAATAAATAGGCTTTGCAGTGATAACCAAAATATCTTATGTGTGCACTCTGATTTGTATGGCTCTAATTTTAAGTTAATAAACTTAATTTATTTTATGACATTTAAAAAGATTTTGTTTTAGAAGTAATTTTGTTACACACTTTGGAGTATAACATTAATTTTGATTCATATAGGGGGGAGTTCATTGGCAATAGCCCTAAATTATTTTATAAAATTGGTAATTGCTTTTCTACTATGCCTAAAATATTACAAATTATTTAAAATGAAAAATATATCGATAATAATGATTAATTAAGTTCCCTATGTTAAGTTATAATAATGTATACATTTTAGATTTTTCTTGTATTAAAAACAAAATAAATGTGTTAGTTCAACGTTTGTTTTTTTTATTTCCTAACCTAATTTTTTTTGTTTACTGCACCACCTAGAAACGATACAACGTATACTTTGGCCCTTC